CTCATTTTTCGGCGTTTGCGACGGAGTCTGCGAGACCTCTTCTTTTTCCACTTCTCTCTCATTCTAAGCCACGGGAAGATAGGAAGTCAGCATGAATTCAGTGTGAAATACAGACAAATAATCTCACTTGTTATGATGTTGGGAGAGAACTTGGGAAAGCCCGTGTGGAGCATCGCCGCTTGGGTTATGAGGCTGATTGCAACTGTACAGTTCTGCTGATGTAAGAATTTCTATTTGGAGACGACGCCCAACAAATGAGCGCTAGAGAGCAAACTTGGGATAGACTTATCCTCTGATCTCCTCGTTGTCGTTCGTACTCATCACCGCCGGAAAATGTCTGGGATGTTTGGAGATGTCCTACCGGAAAAGAGTGAAAGAAGCCTTTCACGCGGAACTCACAGACTACTCGTATCTCCTACGAGCCTTGCGAACCGATGCAACTCTTGATTTGACCTCCAATCTTTTACCTGGCGTTTCCTGTCCATATTCTTACGGTAACGAAGAGGAGAAGTTCGAGGACGATTTGGAAGAGATAGAACCTGCCGATGACCCAGAATCTCAGCAAGGAACTCAGGCTACTCTTGTCGCCTCGCAGACATCTACAACTCGACCGAAAGCAGTAGACTTCGTACTCCCCCCTTCAGAGAATCCAAATAATGCGCTAGTTGAAGACGAGGAGCCAGAACAGTCTTCGAGAAATACATGGAGTCGATGGCCCTTACTTTTCGGAGATGTCCATCTTCCGGAATGGCAGCTCGATGAAGAAATACGACTCATTGCTCTTCGTTCTATTCAAGCTACCCACCGTCGAATTCCTGTGAAAGGTGACTCTGACTCGGAGGATTTCTCAAGCGACGGCGACGAAGAAGAACAAGAAGAGGATGTTTATCAACGTCTCTTGTCGCCGGAGGTCCTCGAAGTCATTACCTCTCAAACTTCTCATTTTTTGTCTCGCATCTTTGCTTCGTTGGCCGACTTAAATCGCAGGGTTCCTGTCGAAAGTTTGGGTAATCGAGTGAAACCATTCGATTGGGCGACTGTGCTTAACACTGCTGAGAAAACTGGGCTAGTTGATCGGGAGTAAGTCTAGCTTTTCATATTCATCGAAATGTTGCTAATAAAATGTGCAGTAAACTGCATACAATTAAACATCGATTAGTAGACATGTATCAAACTGGCAATCCTCCGGAGACCTCGACCTCAAAGCCTCACCCGCCCTCACAGTCTTCCATTCTCTCAGGAGCTCTGGCGCAGATCAGCGCTCTAGAGGACGATTCTATATTCATGCTGGATGTGCATGCCACCATTCCAGAGGATTGTAAGCATGAGACCACTATTGTGTTAATTTTCTCCCAGTCGTTCATCCTTTTATAGCTTTCAAGCCGCCAATCGATTCCACCGATGATGACGAGTATTTACCTCGAAGATCGCGGGTCAAGGGGAAAGGGAAAGGCAGGAAGAAGACCCGATAATTTATGTCGCACTCAATTTAAACGTACACTAATGTCTGTAATCGGTGAGTGCCTCTCTTTTATATTAGCTTTCTTTGTCCGCAGGATGTTTGAGGCATTTGGCTTTATGTGAAGGGCTCACGCCTTCTCACGGTGCAGAACATTAACTCAGCTACCTTCGAGCCAGCATGCTTTGGTGTGTTGGTTCGCTTTATCTGATTTTCTTTCCTTTTGGAATTCTGCGTATCTTGTATAGAGGCTGACGAACTTTTTTTCCTAGTGCCTGTGCATACTGTCATATGTCGGAATCCCCCCTTGTTTGAAGTAGTACACTGACGTGTGTGGTCGGCCTTCGTTAGATTTTTGCCCTGTACTTACATTATATATTTTTGAACCTAAGGACAAAGAGTCTGCATGTTTTCAAACTGAAGGACTTCATTTCGAGAGGTCTGGATTCTGTGATACATAACTAGTGCGGTGTCCCGCGAAAATTTTCGCCATTCGTTGATCCTTCATTTTCTCCCATCAGCTGGTTCATTTCTTCATAGAATCATAGTATCTGTCATAGTCAATGAATTCAGTATGACAGGACCCTGGATGCATTGCATCCTCGTTGCGCTGTGGCCGTGGTATTGTCAGACCTGAGACGACTCAGGACTGGCTCTTAAGCTTGGTACGTTCGAACCTGCTATCACAGATAATATCTGATGCCATTTTATCCCAAACTGAACAGTCTTAGACCATATTTTAACTTCAAGTCTTTCAAGTTCAGCAGATGATGACAAACATACCCGATCATGCAGGACGAGAGTTATTAAATTTGAAAAATCGGCGTTCAACGTTCCAACGCTCGACTCGGAGTTCCTGAAAATGGGCAGATGGTTCAAAGTCATTGTTGTTTCGATCTACTCTATAAGCTGTGCCAACAGGTTCCGAATTGATGAAGGCAAAAACTTCGACATATAACAAAGCCTTGATGGTATACTGGCCGTCGGTTTCTTCCCCGCAATTTCTTTGGCCTCAAGCACACTCGTGCATATATATTCATGGACTCGACAACAACCGGTGGTAGCCTACTCCCTCCAAACCCTATAACACCTCTCGCATTCATACCACCCGATGTTGCTCTACAGCTGACGGCCGAGCGACATTTAGCAATGGCAACATCTGGAGTACGATCATTTTGATTTGTTCTGAAAACCTTTGGCTGATCTGGCTCGTATGCGTCATAGGCATGGATGTGGGATGCTTTGACATCTTTCCCAGAAGATGTCCAGTTATTTACCACACATAAACTCTCCGTGTCTGATGTTGTCTATGTTTGCTCTCGGTGCGTTCAACTTTTGACTTCCTCATGAATCACAAATAACGCCTATTTATGATGTCTATTAGGCTCTTTACAATGGGATACATTGCAAGCATGATTTCTTTCAATGGTTGGTTTCGGTCAGTTTATCTCTGAGATTTTATTGACCGTCGTTTTCCGTTCTCAGTGAGGAAAGTTGAACATTGTCAAACTCTGCTGAATAGTTTAGGAGCGTTCTCAGCGCTCACCATCTCATCATGCTCCCTCCTCTTTCTATTTCGAGCTAGAGCCGTGTTTTACGAACAACGCTGGTTGGTCTATATATTCTTCATTGCATGGGTAGGCTGCCTTGGGACCAGTATGATTATCCCCGCAGCGTTCCATTCCATGACAGCCATTTACATTGGTCCTACGAAATATTGCATTACCCCAGAAAACAGCAGTCTCATTTCGATCCCAGCTATCACGCTCACTGCCTATGACACCGTCACATTCATCGCCATTTCAGTTAGACTGTTGCTTAATTATCCCCTCCTCGATACATCGTTCAAGGGGAAAATGAACGCTTTCTTACGGGGTCAGGGATTGGGTCATCTTACACGATGGATTTTACAATCGGGGCAATTTTACTATATGTGAGTCATTCGTGTTTCACACGTAATAATTGTTGCAGCTTTCTGAATGTACACCTTTATTTTCTTTGGTGATGCCTTTAGGATTGCTGTTACAATCAACCTCGTATCTCTGATCGATAGTCTCGATACAGCGATACCTCCAGGTCTTCGAGGTGCATTCGCCGCTCCAAATCTTGTCCTCCTCAATGCGATGGCTGCCCGAGTTTATCGCAAGACTCGGGTTGGATTTATTGGAAACAATGATCCTAGCTTGCGCTTGCGCACCTCGTGAAGATGTAGATGTACTGCATTATTTGGGTCCAGTGGAAACTAATAGTCCACTTAAAATATGTAATTTATGAGTGCATAGACACTATGCTTAAAAGACATTGTACATTCGAATTAATGGCAGAAAAGAGTCCCCTGAAAGTCCATGCATATTGAAGGCTGATGGACGAATGAATGTATCTGTACGACACCGATCATTACATCGCCGGACCACCGCTCAACACCTCGTATAATCCTTCCACTTGTCTTCTCGATAACTTCTCGCTCCAAAATCTCATGATAGGTTCCCACTCCTCTTTTGACCTAGGCATACCCTCCCCTGAGCCTATCGCAACATCATGACAGTAAGTGTATGCTTTCTTCAAATCAGATAGTGCAGATGGAGACAGAGTCGTCTCTGCAGGATACGGTCGATAAATGGCCAAGATAGGTGTAGAACTTGGTTTCGACAGCGTTGGGTAAGAAAGAAGAGGACCGGCAACTGTAACGATGGACCCTAATGCTTTAGGGGTGTATGGTGTTTCTGTATCTTTCTGTTGTTTTCGTTGCTTTTCGAGTTCGTTTTTCCACCATCTGATACCGAACTCCACCGCTACACTACCACCTTGAGCGAATCCGAACATGTGGATCTTCTCTGGCGGCCAAGCGCAGTCTTCTGTCAAGTGTTTGAAGACGGAGTCCAAGAGCTCTAATGCAGGGGTCGGGTTTGGTCTTGATACGACCTCCCCAAGTTCGTCGAAAGATGTATACCACTGATAAGCATCTTCATATAGGAAAGGAATTCTAAGTGCCATAACACATGTGTCAATATCAGCTTTGTGTAATTTTAAAGGCATTTTATTAGTACGAACTGTTCTGGTGCTCGTAAAGCTAGTGTTGCCGTCTGAGGTAACTTCAATTGACGGCCTAATCTGGCGAATGGAATTTGAGTATCTCCTGAGAGAGAATATTAGCACCCGACACAGAAAAAAAACACGTATAAGCGTACCGAGACCATGGAGTAAGATGAGAAGGTTCTCGTCTGTTCCGTCGTCGCTCGGTGTATAATCGAAAGGGATCTTTATTGATATTTTCTTTGGGGGGGTTCTGATTCGTGGTGTATTCACAGCTTGAGATTCGCGAAGAGTCACATTTGTAGCCATTTATTTATCTCGAGACCTTGAATCGATCCTTCTAGTACTTGGATGGCAGTTGCTTTGAATTTGAGAAGCGAAACAAAACTCAGGAAGCGCACCGTCCGCCGCCGGAGTTTGGTAGATCGGTTATCTACTGTATTACGTAAGTAGCTTGATTTGGATCTGCATATCACCATCGAATCTACCAGTTCCGTGTTGACAACATGGCTGTGTGGTCTAATGGTTATGACGTCTGCTTCACACCTATAATTCTGGTTAACGCTGAAGGTTCCCGGTTCGAACCCGGGCACGGTCATTTGTTTTGAACTAAAATCCGGTATTTATCTTGCCTCAAAACATCACTTGCATACTCTTTTGTCACGTGCCAGCGCGTTGACCGGCAATACACCCACGTGATAAATATTACACGCTAAGTATCCCGCGATTATTGATTCTCCACAGTGCAAAATTGATAAGTTGCCTAAGATTTTCCATCAATGAAGAAGAATAAATGAAGCTCTGCGGTTTATCCTCCAAATATTTCAGAATGTCAATAAGTCTAGAGCGTAAAAAGCCCACGTGGCACGCTGACTAATCAACATTGTCGGGATACATCGAAGATACTTGATCATAGTACTGGCAGCTGAAGTTGTTTGCCTGTAAGAGAAAACACTGGGTCTTATATACATACGTATACTCCATGTACTGAAGTGAACAATTTGAAGGAATGTTTCAGTACCCCGCCAGTCTGCCTTCGAATATTCGTTTACATTTCATTATTATCATTTCTTTGCGTCGAGCACAAGTAAGTATTACAGTAGTATGTACTAATAACGATACTGATATCCAAGCACATAGTCAGTTCGTCCGTACTGTCCCACTAATTTCTACTCAATAGAATACCGGGAGCAAAAGGCATGAAAATCAGAATACGATGTCAAAGTGGCGAGGTCATGTAATGATGAGTAGGTAGGAATTGTTGCTACTGTATACGTCGGCTGAAAATTAGACCACAGAAGAGGACAAGAAGAAACATACATATGCGTGAAATTATAAGATACAGACGTGATTGCAAGTGCGATGCAGATGTGTTGAGACAGAAGGGAAAAAAGAACAGCAATGGTGACGGACGAGCCTGGAAGCTAAAAGGGTATGCAGTTGAATGAGCTGATACATAAAGATAGAAAAGAATTTGAAGTCTGGGTCTAATTGAGATAACCGCGGCATTTCGCAGAGCCACATAGACAGGGAATTTTATCTTGTTCGATGGGAAAGTGATAATCTGGAATTCACAGTTAGAGCAACAGTGTCGAGGAGACTATAGATGACAGTACTGACCATAGGTTATTTCGTTACCAAGTTCTATATCCTGCTTAGCGTATATCACAATCTTCTTCTCACCGTTGATAGTGATGATCTTCGCAGTGCAATTTGGATCGCACGAATGGTTAATTAGACGCCTAGAGTTAGAACCGCCGTAAGCTAAAAGCTCCGTGACATAAAAAACCAATACGTTATCCACGCACCCAAGATTGCCCTTCTTCGTGGCATCCACCACCAAGTCCTCGTCGATTCGGAATAGATAGCTGCTACCGATACCTTGCCTCTCGTAGGCTTTCTCTCGTTTATCCGCCACCTGAGCACGAATAACTTCACCAACGTACTCAATAACCATCTCGCCTCGAGCTATTCTTTCCATGGCATATAGACCCCAGTCGTGGATAGGTGAACGTGCAAAACGAAGTTGCTTCTTCCGAGTCTGTAACTGATTGAACTTCACAGAGTCTTTTCCAGCAGGCAAATCGCCTTTCGACAACGCCATGGCCAATTGGACTTGGTTGATCTCTTCGAGGCCTTGAGCAAGTCGCCTGGCATTCGCTCGGTTGGATCGTGACGTTGCGACTGCTTTGGTTGGAGGCACTTCCACCTCATCTTCGGCATCATTGATATTCGTGCGTGTGGCATATTGCGCGACATATGCTGATTTCTCTGCATGGGAGATCTTGTAGTACCCCTCAGTACGGGCGGATCCAGTAAGATGAACACGGGCAGTGGTGGGTGATCTTTCAGTATCGGCAGAAGTCTCATCTGGTTCTGGCAAGGAGACTTCGCCATGGAGATCCCGAGCCAAAGCCAGTTTAGCAAAGTAGAGATCCTCGTCATCGTCACAGATCCCTTGAGCAAATGGATCGGGCGGGGGACCTCGAGGTACACGCTTCTTGGCAACCAGTGGTGATGAAGGCGGCGATAGCGACGATTCATAAGTGGGTGCAACGTCAACTTGAGCGATAGAAGGAACCTCGAAATCAAGACTGTGAGGTCGAACTTCATGAACAACCTCCTCTGGTTGAATGACCTTCTTGGTAGGTTTAAGTTTTTTGGACTTCTTGGTCGGAACGATGGCAACTTCCTCCTCGTGGACAAGTGTCTTGTGCTTTTTCGTTGGAGGTTCCTCGATGTGACTACTGACAGAAGTAGCTCTTTTCCGATTTTCAAGAGTGGCTGCAACGTGCTCAGTGACCCGCGCCTCAGTCTCGTCCTCTTCCTCAGACTCCAGATCTTCATGAACGGCTTTACGCGAGGCTTTCTTCGGTTTCTTCTTTGGCCGTTCGTCAAGCTCTCGATCAGCGACTGGCTTCGCAGGAGCTCCAAGGTTGTCTGCAGACGTCAGTGGTTTAGTTTCTTCCCTAATGCGTTTCTTTTGTTTCCTAAACGACAACCCCTTGAGCCCAGCATATTTATGTTCCAGTGCAGCTTGAACATCCTGGCCATGTACCATCCCGTCAACACCAGCCTCCCCAATCTTGGAACGCCTCTGTTCTCGGTCTTCTGTGACCAGTTTCTTAACTTCTGGACCAATCACTTTCTCCGCGATATCCTTCTCTAATGCAGACTTGAGCTCTTTGATGATAAGCTTTTGAGCTTGATCAACGAGTTCAGCATCAGTCCAGCGTGTCTTTGTGGCAGTAAGTCGAGCAGGGGGACGATGGACGGTGACATTTACGGAGTGGTATGCCAAAGTTCGTGTACCCGAATTAAGAACCATTGATGCTCGGCGGGCGGCATCAGCAGATTGAAATGTCACATACCAACCGGAGTGGTCTCGAAGAACCTGCAAGTAACACATATAAGGTGAATATATAGATCCTTAAAATGTAATGTACTCACCTTGTCCACTTTGAACTCGTCAAAGAATTGCTTCACATCCTCTTCACGTACCCCAGTCAGCTGCCCACCGTGACCATCAATGGTGACATGATCAAATCCGTTTCTCGACAACTCTTCTAGCACCGCTTCGTGCTCCCTCTGCTTCGCACTTTTCGCAAAGTGCCCCGGGCGTCTGGATATGGGCGAAGGTGATCTCGAAGTTGGCAATGGTGAGTCCTGATTGTCACGTTCGTCATTCCACCGTAACGGCCTCCGTCCTCGAGGGTGGGTAGGTATCGACAATGATGAGTGATGTGACACTTGAGGTCTTGGGGGAAGTTGATGAACAATCGTAGCAGTGGGCCGTAACGTGGCTATCCGTGCCTTCACCAAGTTCTCTGGCGGTCTCCGAATCCTTGCAGGATGATGTATAGGTGCATCACTGGTTTTTCCATCAAGTACATGAGTAGTCGGTTTTGGTGGAAGCGGCGAAGCCATCGGCTGAGCTTGGAGTCGACTATTTGGGTGAGTAGGAGGTCGACCATTGGGCTGTCGATGATATTGGTTCTGAGAATGATGCGAATTGGAAGCTGAATGTCCATTTCTCCAAGAACTACTGCTGTGGCCTGGGGTCTGACTTGCGCTACTTGGGGTGCCTCTCGATACATCTTTCAGTTTGTCTTCTTCTTTACGTCGCTTCCCTTCTCTTTCTCTCCGTCGTCTCTCATCCAACTCCCTCATCACTGCTTTCAACTTCTTTCCCTCTCCATCAAACACCACCTTTAATTCTTCGCCTTCAACACAACTAATACCTAAACCCATGCCTTGAGGTAATTTCTTTCCATGCTCCTTGTCAATGCACTTCTTTGCTTCTTCATGTGTACTGTACTTGATTAGAATGATTCCGAGAGCACCGCCATTCGCACGGTCAATCTGAGGCTCGAAGGAGATGATGGTGCCATGTGCAGAGAAATGCCGTCGAATATTCTGGTTTGCAGATAGTGGCGATATATTCAAGACAAGAACGGCAGCGGGTGGTGGTGGGCCATACGAGTTGTCGTCATACTGGGTTATCGATTAGCAAAGCAAGGATAGATAAACAGCTGGTAAAGATGCATACCTCGTATTTAATTTGAACAAATTCTGTTCTTGGAGGCCGTACTGGAAGCTTTCTGAGATTACCTTCCGCGTCTCTTCTCGGGTCTGAGGGCACAGGTTCTTCCTCTCCTTCAACCACGTCTCCATCGAATCTGGTAAGAATTTCCTTGCCCTTTCCTTTGCCTTTCACCCTATCAGGGGCAACTGGTCGAACCACTTCGATCAAATTTTTCCACTTTCCATCTTTGTCCTTATCCACTAATGGGTCGTAAATGACTTTGAAGTTCTTCGCGGAAGGGAATTCTGATAGCGGAGGGGGCCATTCTGGAGGTGGTGGAAGAGAATAGAATTTGGGTGGTGGAGCAGGAGCAGGGGTGGGTGGTAGTGGAGGTGGTTGAGAAGCCGGTTCAAGAGGTCCTGAGGGCGGTTGAGGAGGGTTCACTAGTCCGTGTCGAGGACCAGTAGGAGGTTGTTTGGTGAATAATGAAGAATGAGAAGGGCCAGACGATGATGGCAGCAGATCCGAAGGGGGCGGAGGTGGTAAATCAGACGGCGGGGGTGGTGGAGGTGGTTCATCTAATGGCGGTGGTGGAGGTTCAAATGATGGAGGAGGAGGTGGTGGTGGTTCAGACGTTGGTGGAGGCGGTGGAGGCGGCTCGAAAGACGGAGGAGGTGGAGGGGGTTCTTCTGAGGGCGGGGGCGGTGGTGGTGGTTCATCAGTTGGAGGTGGTGGAGGAGGAGGCGCAATTGAAGGGGGAGGTGGTGGTGGTGGTTCAACTGACGGTTGCGGAGGTTGATTTACAGGGACTGGACGAGGTAATCGAAAAGAGATTGCCGGTCCCTTTGGATTTAGCCCAGCAGTAGGTCCATTAGGTGCAGTCGGTCCTGTTACGCTACGTGTGTGACCGCCGACACCATTCACCTGAGGTTGAGATGGCGGTTGCTGCAATGAAAACGACGTTGAGCTTACAGTTACATGAAAACCAAGTGTAATGCCATTCACCCCGCTCGATCCTGCTTGATTGTTCCAAGCAACTTCAACCTGTTTACCCTTCAGTGAGTACTTCCCAC